TGTTGAGGTTTTTCAAGGTGTGAAACACTAATCTCAATGTTGTTTCTCATTTGAAAAAACTCTACTCCTTCGGTCGGCACTAATTATTTCATTTCAACATTGTACTTATATCATACCCATGTTTCAAACATAAATAAGTTGAGAAGAGCTCCTCTAAAAAATATATACAGAAGAAAATGTTATTCGATTTCCATGATTTTTTTTTTTTCATTTTTTTCAAGGAATTTAGGTAGCGTTCAAATACTCATAGGTTTAAAGCGCTACATCTCTGCATCAAATCGTTTTGATCGCTACATCGTCCCTTGTTTTTCGAGGAAGTATGTTATGTACATACATTACAAAGCATTCAAGTAGAAGACTTAAGCCAAGTTCAATTAAAATCGTTAAAGCCGTTTTGGCGCGACAGTCAAAGTGCTATAGCTATTTTGAAACGGAAAGTTGGATGGTAATGAAATGTATATAAAAAACACTCCTGAGTTTGATTGTAATGTTTTATCAAAATTTCAAAACAAACGGTGAAGAATTTTCGGAGAGAAGCTGTTTTGAACAAACTACCATTTATATATAGTATTTCAAATTTTTACTTCCACTTACTTATATACATATGCAATATTACACTATATGCAAAGAAAGTATTGCGATCGTGAAATTTTTCTAATCTGAGTTTTCAATGGAAATAGATGTTCTTAGGTCCACGGGCGGATCTACGGGGGGGGGGGGCTTTCGGGCTGAAGCCCCCCCCCAAAATGGAAAAATGTAACCATGTTTTATGGGAAAAAAAATTTAAAAAATACCTCTTAAAGTATTATTGTTCGTGTAATTACATTTAAAAGTACTTAAGGAATAACTTAAACACCATTTCATACCATAGGTAGTTAGTTTCTTTCTGTTTTTCCAAAGTAATTATCGTTATTTTTATGAAAAAAAAAGGTTTCGGGCTGAAGCCCTCCCCAAAATTAAATCCTAGATCCGCTAGTGCTTAGGTCCAATAAGTCCAAATAACCAAGTCAAACAAAATGGTCTGCATGTGTGTGTGTGAACAGCCTAGCTCAAAAACAAAAAGTCTTACGTAACTCACATTGTTTATTTAAGGTTTGTTCATGCCTGAGATTTTACAGCAACTTCTTCGTCAAAATCGGCTAACCGGAAGTGCTACTTTATATCATTGATTTTATATATTTTTACAATTTTCCTCGAAAACGACTCTAATGATTTTGATTAAATTTATATTATCTAAGTAAAATTAAGCATGTTTTTAATATAATACAGGTCTACTTCTTATTGATGTTCTCTTGCAGTGTTTAAATACCTAATTTTCAAAATTTCTTCCTCTAAAGTATCTTTATTTTTTTTATTTGAAATAAATAACCATTTCACATTGGCAACTGAAATAAAAAAATTGTTAAATATAACGAGTAAAGAAAATTGATTGGTAACTAGTGGAGAAATAAAGGTTGGAAGATATACGAGAAAATAGCCGAGAGCGTTCGGCCTTTTCCGATCCTCTCAATTTACAAATACCCGATACCCCTCAGTAAAGGACTTTCTGATTGTTAATTTAACTTATATATATATATATATATATATATATATATATATATATATATATATATATATATATATATATATATAATCACTTATTCATAATTTTTAGAAAAGTTTTTAACGCGAAATGTTGAGCATCTACCAATATAAACCTAATAATATACATTGAAGAGGAGTTGGTTGGGGTGTGCAATCACAAGTTACAAAATAAATTATGTTTATTTTTGTCAACGCTTCAGCCCAAAGTTCAGGCCATCGTCAGAGCTAATAAAACACAAGGTAACAATAGATATGAAAAACTAGTAATAGTAACAAATAATAACATGTTGGTAGAATACACTTAACATTAATAGATGTGTGGAAAGGCAGAAATATGAAATACTAATAATATACAACATTGAATAACGTTAAGTTATTTTTTCAACGAGTTACTTGATAAATTTTTCCCAAAAAACTCAGAATTTTTCCAAAAGATACATTTCTCCCAACAATCTTTAGTATTGTTTGGTACTATGCATAGTCATAAAAGGAAATGAAAAACGATGCAAACATATAAATTTTACGGATTCAATGGGCGGGTAAAATATGTTAATTAATTGTTTTATACCTTTGTTTTCACATGTACTTCCTTGTATATAAAAATACCTCCTACTCTCAGGTTGCTAAGTGAAAGTTGTGTGATGCGTGCACCACACCAGATTTTTATTTATTGATATCACTAAAGTTCGTCAATAGATACTTAACAAAAAATAATAAATAAATAAAAGAATGAAAATAGGTTGAGAAATAGAGGAGAAAAAGGGACTGAACTGTTGGCCTTTGCCTCTTTATATAATGATTTCTTGCACCAGGGGATTTTTTTTTTCCATAGTGTTAATTACTCTGAAAGAAAAAAAAAAAATCTACACCTGAAATTTTGTTTAATTAGTCCTATAACGCCTGTTAAAAAAAAACAAAAAAAACAATGTTGTTTTGGTATCTAGACCACTCACAAAAGGTATATGGGCCAATGAATTTTCCGATTTGCGAACTTAATCCCAAAAGCCTTCCCCCCTCTCCATCGCAAATCCGCCAGTGATTATGTATCTTCATATTTTGTTTCATATTAATTTTCTATTGTCTAAAGCAGGTTTTTTAAAAATTATATAATGTGAATACTAGTTGGTTAAAGTCCTTTTCGATTTAACATAATTTACTTCCAATGAAGGAAAGCATACAAAAATAAGATTATTTTTTAATAAAATACAAAGTACTACTGGTTAAATATTTATGATAACTTAAATGTTTTTGGATATTTATACACAAACAATTTAATAATTGATTTTTTTAATTTGTCGATATTATTTTGTATAATTTGAACACTGGAAGCTGGGTGTGTAAGCTCTAAAAATTACTTGGCATTTGTCTTTTACCTATTTATATACAATAATACAATGACCTGTACATATTATTATTTTGAAACTAATATGCAACCTGAGCTATAGACTGCCTATTACTCAGAGCTGGTGCAGTTGGTGCATTGCCAATGTCACCAGTATTGCTACCTGGCCAATCAATGTCACCTCACTTAGAATCGCAAATAGGTTGTGGAATTCATCTTCTATTGGCAACACTGCTTGCAGATCTTTACTTAGCCAATGAATTTCTTACATTGTATGCTCTATTTATTTTGATTCTGTTGTGTCTACCCATTTGTATTGTTCTCAAAGTTTAAATAGATTGAAATGCTATAAATTTTATTTATTAAATAATTGATTGATTAAATCATCTGCAATACAGTAGTATTCACATGTATACATTTCCTATCGCATACATGTTATAAATGTGAAAATGTTTACTGAAGGTCTAGTGTTAGGAATTAGTAATTGATGTTATCTTATTTAGTTTAATCTATTTCTGCCTCTTAGATAACTGTACGTACATATTAATAAATAGAAAATTAGATTTACATGCATACGGCAACCAAAACTTTTATAGATTAAGCTTGTTTTGGATAAACCATTAGATAATATGCATCATTATATAATATTTGACCACATATATTCATTGTATTTTTTTTTTATCTAGTAATATAGTCGTTTATAATATTAGTTATCAAAAATACAAAAATAACCCAAACAGTAAACATATAAAAAGTTAAAGGAAACATTATTCATAGTCATAATTTTAATAGAGTACTTATTGTTTACAGTTCAAAAATAACTTATTTTAACAGTTAACACAACATTATATAGATAAGTTAGTAAAATATTTTATAATGGTAAATGTTGAACAAAATAAATAAATAAAACCTATACCACTTCGACCCATGAAGGGTCTTTGATTCAGTACGTTGTAAGAAATTACTGTTTTGAGGCCGGCAGTTGTGCAGGGAGGTGATCAGTCTGGGATCATGCTTAACATATAGAGTTTCCCCAATAATTAATTATTATAATTAAGATTAGCCATTTTATAGACTCACGCCTGATGAAAAATTACTTTTCATCAGTAAATTTCTTGGGAAGGTAAATGTTGGAAATTAAGTTAAAATATATAAACAAAATATCAAGAGCTATGAAGTAAAAATGAAATTTGTAATAAAATCTTTTAGGGATAAAGTTTATACTGCTAACATTTGGTAATAATTTTGAAAAAGATTACAATTCCAAAAAATATGGAAATGGATTTGGCTGGTTTGTGAATTTTATGCCTCATATATTAATAGGCAGCTGTAAATTTTATTTCACTTTTGGTGTATTGGATAGAAAAATTTTCATTTATGATATAAAGAAATAATTGTACTATAGTGTTAAAAAATAAATAAATGAAACATTAATTAGATTTTTCTGTGATCTGCTCTTCTGACCAAACTTGCCCTATTTTACTGTCAGTGGAAATAGCTTCTGTCTAATGTTGTCATTTAAGATCCCATCAGAATCCATTGCACTTGTTCTATTAAACAGTTTGTTGCAAAAATAAATTATTACAAATTCATTCAGTAATTTTAATTTATTTTTTTTAATATTTACCATTATGAGATATTGTATTAACTTATTTATAAAATGTTGTAATATGAGTAACTGTTTTGTTTCAAACAAAAGTGCATTATATTATATTATTCTCTTAGCTTACAAGGGTCTCACTTAAGTTGTTTACCTATGTTAATTAAGCTATGATTGTTGAATTCTTTGTCTATTCAGTACCAGATCAACAATACAGCAAACATTTATTTTTTTTATATTAATTATATATGGAATAATATTGCTTAGAATCAGTAGAAATGTGTTTTAAAAATAGTCCAAGCCGTAAAATCATAAAAAAAAAAAATTAAAGGAACATTATTTCTACATCTATGTTTAAAATTACAAATGAAAGTTTAGATGAAAAAAATCATGGTTTTTTGTTTATTTTTCAGCGTGAAATAATATTATTCTTTTTTTTCTTAAATGTTATGCTCATAATGTATTTGATTTTAGGCAGCCATTGGAAGTCCCGCTGATAAACAACTGAAGGCTGGAGACGAGATATTGCAGATAGGAGATTACGATGCTAGGGATATTCGCCACCAAGATGCTCAGATGTTGTTCCGAGACGCTGGTAACACAATTAAAATAGTCGTGTACAGGTGAGCCTCTATTTATTTTTTATTTTGTATCATCTTTATTAACAGATTATCATAATAAATATAATGATACTATTATTTAAGAATAAATTCAATTTAAAAATTATCTACTGTTCGAAAGTTTAATAAAATCTTAATTTTTTGAGAAAATTTGATAAATGTTAGAATAAATAAAGCCGAATTAAGATGTTTTTCAAATGAAACTTGAACACATTGGAAGGACATAAATTAATGATTTTTTTTTTTTTATTTCTTAATGACATTTACAACTGTATTACATAAATACATCAAGTAAATTTGGACATAATAGATATAATGGAATGAATACACTTGCTGAGTAACCACCCAATGGTAGAACTCTAATGTAATGAAATTTTAGAGTGATATAGTAATAAACAAACACAGAAATTAATGATAATATGCATTTCTTTTTAAAAATCACAGCTAAGAGAATTTTTTACTTTTTTGGCTCATGTCGCCGTAACTATTATAGTTATAAACTTATCTCTAGAGTCATCTTTCATTTTACAATTTCAGGGTCATCTATTTAACACTTTAAAACTGAAAAATATTCAGTTATACAGATATAATACCAATTTAAAAAAAACACCTTTTTACTCAAGTGATGAAGACCCCAAAATTCAATTGTTCTAGTAATGGACAGGGGGTCGGTACCAGTAATGGAGATACCTTAGAAAAATTCTAAAATCTTTATTTAACTCTAAAGATAAGATAACAAAAATGTTCAACTTACTCTTTGAAAAACTGTTAGTAGGAAGGCATGAAACATACTAAAGAGCACTATAGGAACAACAATGATAGGCATTTTAAAATTTTCTTTTGAGAACTTTGTTCATACAGTCATCAATAGAGAGTATTGTTCTTCAATCTAGAAAATAATGGAACCTTTAAATCAACAAGGAAGATTATTATTTACATTTAAAGTCCAACCTGTTCATCACTGGGCCCCATGTCCATAACTAGTGCGTTTACCCTAGTCCTTGAAGGCTTGTTAAAAATAAAAAAAATCATAACTACAGGAACAATAATGCTTTTAGGGATTATTTTATTTTTTTGATAAGTGCATACAATTAGTAGCTATGTATCCTATATATTATTTCTAAAAGGTGCTTTTTTGTCGGTACACCATAACTTCGTCAATTCTTCATCAAATCCAATCATTTTGAAGATATTCTTCTCCTTCACATGTGAAAAATAGTCCCATCCTCCTGAAATTTCTTGAAAATTGGTATGGAAGAAAAGTAAAGTAACTAAATTACCTACAAAACAAAAAAATAATCGTAAAAATCGGACAATTATTAACAAAGATACAGTCTATTAGTTTTGGTATACTTAATAATGTCTTCCTGTTTAATTGCATTTGGTATAGATATTGCATTTGGGAGTAGAATAGTCTACTACATTTTTTTTTCTGGCTTTTATATTAACTTTATTATATCTTAAGGACATTTTATTGTTCTTACATTTTATTTTTTTTAAAATAATTTAGAATATCCTGTGATCGGGGCATTATTTTGTCTTTATTACTTTTATTATCTTTCCAGTCAACATTTAAAAATAGGTCCTAGCAAAGCAATTTGCATAAATATTTTGGTCTATTATGTTTAATGAATATTGTAATCGACAAAGAAAAAATATTAATTCCTTCCTTAAATAATATTACATAATACATAGGAACTACTTATTTCCATATTGTTTTTCTATTTCTTCACTAAACAAAATTTTCTGCAAATTTTTCGCACTGGCCAACTAGTGTATAATACTTTTAAAATAGTTGTGAATATTTTGTGATTGTATAAATATTTAGCAAAGATCATTCACAAGCAACTATGTACCAATGAAAAAAAAAGCTATTTTTCCATTTTGGGGGCTTTAAATATCACTCAGACAGATGGTTGCCTGCTTCCAAACAACATGATTATTTGAGGAAGCATTTACATCGAATTGGAATTGAGGATTCTCCAGACTATCTCCTTTCGCAACAACCCTGATTGCAACAAGATGACTGAAGAATTCCTCAACACATTTCCCTCACTCGGAAACATAAGAACGAACTTTAAATTCAATGACAGTTAAAATGGCTAAATTATATTTGGCAGCTAGAAAACGAAGCCATAATTCTAGTATAAGAAAAAAAAATTGATGGAGGGCTTTAGCCCAAAAGCTCCCTAACTGTTTTGACCACTTCCTTGCAACATTATTTTAATCCATTTTCCTAACTGTATATTAGTATCAAAAGTATATTAACATGCAAGTTAAAAATGAGATACTAGATTAAATAAACAATAATAATTAACTTATGAGATCCTATTTTCAGAATTTTAGCCAAAAAAATAAGCATTGAAGATTATTATCTTTATATTATATTAAATTAGGATGTCTCATAAGTGTTTTTTTTTATTTGTTGATTTACTGTGGTATATATGAAGTGTTGTTTGTGTCTTACAATTCGATTGCGACCTTCTACATCACCCTCCATACTCCATCCTTCAGACCTTGCTTCATCCAGAGGGAATAGTGAGACTTCTTAAGAGTTAGGATAAGGTAATAGAGGAGAACAGTTTTCATATACCATAGTAAATAAACCTGAACAACAAATAAAATAAAGGAAGAAACTTATGGGACACTCTGATATAATGTAGGTTGAAAAATTACCATTGAATGTTAAAAAGTCTTTGTTTATTATCATAAACATCTTAAAATTGTAGTCATATTTGATGCTTTATCTATATATTAGCTACACAATCTTTATGAGTTATTTAAAGTCAAGAATATATTTTTTTTAGCTTAATCTAACCAATAAAAATAGTTTTATTTGCACTCTAATATTTTTTTCTAATTGTTGCAGAGAAAGCCCAATGATCCCGAGTCGAGACAGTAGCGTTGAACCCTTAGCACTCCCTCGAGCGTTAGCAACTCTTCCAGAGCACCAATACGAACCCATCGGTCCTATGATCTTCAATACTGCTCTCGTAGACACTTCGAGGTCTTCATCAAGGGCCTCGACCCACAAACAAGAAGTGGAGGAAGAACAGCATGCCTTATTAGAGCAAGTAAGAAAGAAATTTTAATTTTTTTTCTTTGCTTTATTAAATTTGAATTGACTCCTAAGTGTCTCTTATATTGAATATTTTTCTGTAGATATTAATTCATTAATTAATATCACAAATAACTAATTGAGTTTTCTTTAATATGATTTTTGGAGGAACTATTAGTAACTATACAGAGTGAGTTAGAAGGAATGGACCAAAGTCCTGAAACTCATATTTTTTTTTTCTGATTTGCATTTGTTTAAATTTCAATGGCTAATTACAAATAAATGTATTTAACAAATAAATAATGTTGTATACATGTATTAGCTTTTAGGTTGTAGAAGTCTTATTTTGATAAAAATTAAAAATACCACCATTAACTTCTAAACATTTGGATGTAAGGTTTCCAGATCAGTGGATTGGTCACTGTGGTCTAATTAGTTGGCCAGTAAGATCTGACCTCACGGTATTGGACTAGAGTAAAAGCACCAATAGCTGACATCCTCCTGAAAATATGGGAATAATAAAATTTCAGGACCTCCTAGACCTCTATTTCATATATTTTTAGTTTATATATTTTCTTCTCGTATATTTGTCTGCTTTTCTTTAGTTTTGCCAGAAATCACACCTGAAATAATGAGTGGCAAATTAGGAAGGTCCCTCACAGTCTACTTAATGACCCAGAAACAATCATCTATCAGTAAAGATATCATACCTTAGGTTTGCCTTTTTCTCATTAACTACTCAGATTTATCCCACAATTTTTGTTTGATTGTTATTAAATTATGTTTTATAGGTTTTCAACTTATCTTTATGAAGGGATTACTTTTGCCTGTAGTTGACAGCAGGGGTGCCCATTCCCCCAAGGTTGATGGCACAATAACCAAGCCCCCCCTAACCCTCTCCCAAGATATTTCATTGCTCATTCTTTCCTGAAAACAGAGCAAGGGAAAGTAGAATTAGAAAAATCATAGATCATACGCAACAGTACTTGCTGCCGTCTGTTCAATGTTTACCTCTTACTCCTTATTTTGAAAATTTTTATTCCGAATTTATAACTCCTTCCCCCTTTCAAAAAAAGTTCAAAAACCCGTAAAAATATGCTCCCCTCAAAATTTTGATGGTGCAACTTGTGCCAAAAAACTCCCTTCTGGGCACCCCTGATTGATAGGCCTGTACTCTGATAAATTCAAAGAGATATACTCAATAGAATGGGTCTTAAAAATGGGCCCATTCACTACTGTCTCGTTTAAAAAAAATGTCTAATGATCTGGATTAAATATAAGCCAAAAATAGGTTTTCCTATTGCCAAAAATAGGTTCTTGACAGTGACCAGCATTTATTGATAAATTTAATTCAAGAAAGGCAAGAAGTTAGTTTTATAATAACTTAAAGGCAACTTTTGTTAATCTTAAAATGAATAATATGGAATTTCTCTTAATTACAACCTTTTCTCATCTCTGTCAGCTATAAGAACATTTTAAATAAAACAGTATTAGCTACTGGTACAACAAAACTAATCTCTTAACTTTCAATTTTTAAAAATTTATATAAGTGTTTCATGGATTTTAAATATGTCTTGATAAGGTGAGAAATAGTTCTATAAGATGAATCCATGAAAAATATAAATATAGTATTTAAGTTTTTACTAGTAAAAGTTCAAAGAAATTTCCTTAAGCATGTCAGCTATCGGTGCATTTACCTTACTGTTTATGATTACTGTCAGAGATGAATTATACAAAGTAAAAAAAGTAGACTTGGAATGCATTAATCAAATTATTAAAAATGCTGCAGGCGTCAATTAAAGGAAGATATGATACAATCAGGAGGGCAAATGTCCGCCATTGAAGACAAGGTCAAAAATATTTACAAGCCAATGGTGGTATTTTCTAAACATTTATTAAAATAAGAGTTCAATAACAGAAATATTAATACATGTACAAAATATTGTTTATTTGTACTTAGCCCATTTAAACAAATGAAAATAAGATAAGACTATACGAGTTTTTTAGAAATTATTTTCTTGCGTGCAACCCACTCATAATCTTTGGCCTGCTCCTCCCGACTCATCCTGTATATCTACTACTGCTAAGGTTTTAATACTATAACTAATTTCAGTACCTTAGTAGATTTAGAAGGTTTCAGACCCATTTTATTTTCATTCAGGAACAGATTAAGGGATGAGTGGGCTAAATGGCCTCGTAGAGCGGAGAGAAGTAAAGTGATAATTTAAAATGAAATGAAAAAAATAATTTTATTCTGGTGTTAAAGTCCCCTAAAAATATTTACAATGTTCAGGATTTATCTATATTAGTTTGCCATCACAACTACAAAACATAACTTGTTAAAACAGTAATTTAATTACAGAAATAAATAATGTTTAAATCGATATGATAGTTATAATATGAAGTAGGAGGCACAATAGAAGTTGCTTAAAGGAATTTGTGGGGAGGATTGATGTATGAAGATAGACAAAAATTTCCAAAAGGAGTTAGCTCACATGACAAAAGATTTTATGTTTTTATGGGAGGGAAAATATATGATACATAGATCAAAAGATTGAAATCTAGTGTTTAGATAGTGAATTGAGGAATGTAGGGTAGGAATTTGAATAGGCTTTTAGGTTCTAAGCTCTTGGAAAAGAAAAACACCAAGGAAGAATTGCAATCGGGAAGAAGGATAAGTATCTTCAACTTGGTGTTCTAAGTTTTCATGTTTTGATGTCCTCATGTTTCCATAACAATGCTTTGGAAACGCAAAGATGAATCTTATTAAACGATCCATGAGTCTCTTGAATCTCATATTCAGCCTTGCAGAAAGTCTTCCACACACAAGCAACCATAATTGAAGTGGAGAGGGTACAAGGGTGGTTACAAGGAACTGTCCAGTCTTTTGAGCAATAGAATCATGGAACCTTAAGAGTTGTTTTTAACATTTATAGATCTGATAAATATGGTTATTCCATAATGATCATGGTTTATTTCTCAGTTTTAAGATTATTAAGTTTTTAAAGCAATTTTATAAGTTTTAAGCTAGGTTATTCCGAGGTCTTTTATTTCTTTCAGTCTTAGTCTGATGCATTGTTTTTTTTCTTAAGTACTGAAAATACAACTGAAGGTTCTCAGTGGTTTTGATCCACCCTTTAATATTATTGTAGATTGAGTTGCAGAATGGGTATTGTTTATTTCATACAAAGTCTGCTACATAATAAGGTTTTATGATTTTTTTCACACATGTTGTTGATTGTAGTGTGGGGATACGGTCAGAAAACAGCAGCAAACAATTGAAAATATTTATGAAAGATATTTCAGTCTATTTTTTTTTTTAGGGCGAAATAACTATGTGAATATCATGTATGTTATGAGCGGCCTTCTTCCAAAATATTAAAATCATTTGCTTAAGCTGCTTCATTATTTTATGTTTGAATTGTATTTCATTCAAGACCAGAACTAGGATATTTAACAGAAAGGGCAAGGTAAATCATGTAGCCCCATATTTCACCTCCTGTCCTCTCATCCCCCAAAAATAAAAGTAAACATTATATATCAGTATTTTAGGTAATATATTTAAAAAAAATATCATCATCAGGTAATAAACTTAAAATGACTGAATTAAGGTCAAAACAATAACAAAACAAGAAATGCTTTTCATTTTTGCTAAAAAAAATTCTCGAAATTTGCTGCCCCTTAAATTCTGCCATCTGGAACAAGTGCTTTCTTAGTCTCTCCCTACTTCTAGTTTTGACTTCATTCTATTTTCTTTAATTCAATTACTTTTATAAAAGTATCAAATATCATATAAATTAATATATAAATAAGATAAAAAAATTAATATATTAATATAATTTTCTTTTATTTCAGTACAGTATAATATTTCAGTTTATATTTCATTAAGCCAATAGTACACCAATAATGTTTTTATTTCCAATCCTTATTTTGAAATGACGATGTTTCGGCTCATCAAGCCACTTTCAAGTCTAAAAAGAATTTTTCATATTCCAGTTATTTACAATATCTTTTGTTAATTTTTCTGCATAATTATTTGTAGAGTCATTTATATAATTTAAAACATTCATATATGTTGAAATACAAAATTTGTATTTACTTATCATGTCCTAGTTTACTGCATTTCTTATGTAAAAACACTTTTCATCTTATAACAGCTTAGTTTTCATCAGGTCTTATCTATGTGCATCTATTATGCATTACGTATTATTATTATCAAACTGATAATATAGGAGCTGACATAGTAAAGGTTTAACATTCTTAAAAACCTCTTAATGTAATTAATTTTGTAATAATGAATTAAAATGATAGATGCAAATAGGTAAGACGATTATGACAACTAAGCTGTAATAAGATGAATAAGATGTTTTTACATAAGAAATGCAGTAAACTAGGACATGATAGGTAAATATAAATTTTGTATTTCAACATAATATGTAAAACATATGTTTATGTATATATTATATGACATATATAATCTAAGCAATTCTATAAATATTTATGCAGAAAAATTAGCAAACAATATTATAAATAACTGTAATATGAAAACTTGATAAGGATTTTTTTTGGTCCTATCCTTCCTCGCCGTTAAGGCTACACAGGGGTTTTTGGGGTCAGGGGTGAGGGCGGGGATTTAAAAGTTTCCCCCATTACCGGAGGAACTTGTGACTATTTTTTATCTAGTTATCAATTGTCAGGTTGCCTGGCAATGGCGGTGCTATGCACACACGTTAGCTCGTTTGGCTATCCTGCCCACTCCAAAATAAGAATTGGAAATAAAAATATTATTGGTGGACCATTGGCTAAATGAAATTTAAACAGAAAAATTAATATAATTCCCAAAAAGTGTTGGGCCCTCCTTCAGATTGGAGAACCCTGGCCAGCACTGATGATTGTTCTTTTGCTCTAGTGAATTTGTGCTTGAAGGTACTTACTTTTCATTCCTTTAGGAAGTTGTAATTCATAAACAATTCCAGGCTTTCCAGTTGTTTTGATGATATCTCTTGTTTCAT